CCGCTACCCACAATTGTATTACAGGAAAAGGGGAAAGTTTCACCCGCACATACAATTTGTATGTTTTGTGTCGCTCGTCTCCATGTACGCGGATTTCGTTAATTAAAATTTTCTTTCATTCGCTTCTTTTGTACATTTTAATAAGACAAGAAGCACTTTAAACGTAATTTTAATGACTTATTTTCTATCTCAGGGGGATCATATTATAAGAAACTGTTCTCTTAATTTGTTTTGAAGTATTTATAATGAATATAATATAAAAATAGTAGAAATCACCAAAGTTATCTAATACAAGTTTATAATGTAGTGAGCATCGAATATCAGTTAACTATGAATCTGCACGTTTGTTTGTCTTAATTAACCGCTATGATTAACGCGTTCAATTCCAAACAATCCCCGGCTATAATCTTTAATGTAATGTTGACTCAGGGAGGGGGGGGCGCGTTTGTTTTAGTTCGTATTACAAATGTATTCTGTACGTAATATATAAATAAGATTTACTTACAGACATACAAATATATCATTTCATATAACTCTTTTTGCATACAGCTTATTTAAACGATTATGGTATATATGTGTAATATACAAATAGGCATATAAGAGTTGCTATATCATAGTATATGTTGTTCTACGATGCGGGCTCGGTGTCCGATTGTGTTGGGAAAACAGAAAAAGTGCGAAGTGAATTTTTTGTAGTTTCTGCGAGCTCCGTATCGCTGCTACCAATTTTGTTGATCACTTCTCTCCTGTCTTTTACATCTTTTAGAATGAATAAAAAACTTATTGATTATTGTAATTAGTTACATCGAAAAGATATAATTTAATAATTAATACAACAAAAAAGGAAGATGTAATCGAATATCCAATAACTATAAATACAAACTCTTTGTTTTCTATTCGATTAACCAAACAAAAGGCATCAAACCACTTGCCCTAAAAAACGTAATTCGAAATTCAATTTATGGATAATAAAAAAAGATAAATAGCCAACTTCTCTGCGTCGTTCATTGTGAACTGTGAAAGAGTATACAGTGAAGTAGGTCGTCCATAGAAAAACTGCACAAAAAGCACACGATTCATGCGTTTGAAACGACGACAGCACGCGTGCCAGCCAATGGAGCCCCCGGAGCCCTACGGAGCTTGCACAATGCCGCCCCGGCTCATTCAACAATTACCGTGAAATAAACAAAAACCTACTTAATACACTCCAAGACCGACTCTTATTCCGTTCCGTCCCATTTCTATTGTTAATTTTGTATCATTTTCGGCAGAATAATTTTAATCTACTTTCTTACATTCGAGAGAATTTCATTTTTGTTAACAATATTATAATTTTAACAAAAAATTCAAAGTCCGCTTCTGTAAAATCTATACAGGTTGGGTCTTAATTACAAATTCCTCTTTTTGCTGAGTTTCTGCTGAGCTCAGCATAATACAAGTTTAATGACTTGAATAAACGCAAGCATTTTCTTATTTCTTTTTTGCTAATAAATGTTAATGAGAGTAACATTACAAGTTTTAGATTATTTAAGTGCATACAATTTTAATTGTAAATAATATTTATAGATTGCACGAAGCAAAAATAATGAATAATTAAAAAATCATTTTAAAAACTTATCAATAACAATACATGTAAAGAGATATAACTGTTAATGAATACGCATACTAATGAGGAAAGTGTATGATGAGCTTTCTGCCAATTACATTTCAAACAATTGCGTTTGTTTGAACAAAGTTGTTCACTAAGCCGAGGCAGAGCAACGCAGAGCAATAGCAATAGCCAATTGTGTATATAATACAACTGTTTAATTGTGTCTGTTTATGTAGGCTTATCTGTAACTGAGCGGGCGCGCCCTTTTGTCCGGATTCGTGTGTGATCATTGTTGTGATACCATATCGTTGTGTCCTCTCCCCCGAACCTCCCCGACTCTGTCGCACCGTGATCCACCAGATTACCGGCGCGGAGGAATCTGGACTTCAGTTACACTTCGTTAATCCCATTGTTATTGCCTAGACCGGCCTTTAGCGATACAATGAATAAATAACACAATGACTATACCTTTAATTACAAATAATTTAGTTTTATGACTAGTTTATGATACATGTAAAATGAACGATTTTTCCAGCATAAGTAGGATAACTATATTGGGTTTTTAGTATTGAAAATTTACAGGGATAACCGATTCTAAACCGCTAGTTAAAACAGTCAAAATATATCGTATATGACCGGAGTAACGGGACGAGAACAAGTTTTAATGAATGGTGACACAGAGAATGATGCAGAAAGGGAGATAGGATTTTTCCGTTTGCAGCGCACTGTTCTGCGCGAGGTGCAGCCGAGACCCGCCCAGCTTCGCAACAACGCGCCCGCATCAACAGACGTTCGCGGAGTGCGCTATTTAGAATTTTTATTTTTATTTACATACCAGCATAACCTTTGACAGAAAATATATTCCATCAATTTCTTCAATATCGACTTTTCATTGGTTTTCATTGTTTTATTTGCCTCGCTGTAAGTACCTTGATATATAATGACAGTAAATATGCGCTTTGAGAACTCACAAAGTCAAAAGGCAACGCAAATATGAATTCAATATTATCACGTAAAAATATCTTTGAGTAAAAAAAGCTTACATTATAAAGTGTCACTAAACTTTTCAAAAGATATCTACATTCATATTCATACAATCATCAAAAGGAAGCCTATTTCATTTCCATCGTAATTTATTTAATGAAAATTAATAAAAAGCAGAATGTACTTACGAAGCAGTTTATCTTACGGCGACACAAACTTTTACTTAAAAGCTTTATGTAAATGTGAATAATTCCGTTGCTTTTATATTCCAAATTCAAAAGTTTCCGTTTTTTCTTCACAACTTATAATAAGATAAGTACCGGCTCGGCTTAATTTTAACTTGCCAATACGAATACTAAATGTCTCTGAATAATTTCAAGTATAAATCAATGATTATTAAATATTATTTGAGTTTGCCACTTTTCTTTAAAGAAGACAAATTCATAATTAAATAAAAGTTGAAAATTAAATCGTACGACGTACACTTTAACTCTTCTTGTATTTGCATTAAAGATAAAAACAATTTCATTTTTTTCAACCGCCCATTTGAATATACAAACTATAATATGATATTTTTTTATAAAAAAGAAGAAATCGTGGAAAAGTAAAACAGAAAAGCATAAATGAAGCTTTCTCTGCCTTCCGTGTGGAAATACAAAAAAAAGTTTTGATCAATTAAACTGAACTTTGAGAGCTTTATGTAAATCCGAAAGAATTTTTTTTAACTTTTAATTTAAGCGTTTGCAAATTTTCTTTCGAAAAAGTTTTAATGAGATAAATGATTCTATAGTCGTGTTAGATATAATGAATTACAAAGGCCCATGTTTGTTACTTCTGTAGTAATTGTATGTTAAAAATGAATACATAAAAACCTGAGATTTTTTTAAATTAGTTTTGTTTATCATGTATAGATTTATCAACCTTTTATTTTATGCGAATTATAACAAAGTTGCCTAATTAGGGATGATTAAATCTATCATATAATTTTGATTTATTTAACTATGTCGATTGCCAAGTGAATTGTACGTACAATATTCTAACTCTTCCGCCATAGACCTTAAGTGTATAATGTGAACGGAATCCGCTTTGTTTGTGCTTATAGCAATATCACGCCGTTACTTATTGTTTAATTTGGCGGCAGCGGCAGTAGTTTGCGAGTTCAATTACAATTAATCCATATTTACAGTGCGCGCTAAGCCGTGTTTACTCGATGAGCTCTGTTTACAGAGACGGGATTACTCTCTACCTACGCTGTAATATCCGCAGACTAGCGCACCCATACATAATGAAATATTAATAACTTACCTCACACATCTTAACACACTTGTGGTGGATTTAATAATGTTATGTTCCGTTAACGAACATTATAAGTGCGCAATTTTATCAGTCTTTAAGAGTTAACATGCGTTAGGCGAGAGTCGTAACTTTTCCTTACAACGCATTATACTCGTCAACTGAGTCCCATCACTGCGCTTGCTTTACATCGACCGATCGTTTCTATCAATCGGTAACCAGTATGCGAACTCTCCGCCTGCTGTATAACGACAAAGTTTTCGACTAATGAAACTGCGCCCTAACATTTTAAAGATACTGTGATGTCTAATCACTAGCCATGACATCGGTGGATTTTATTTCTTCTCGTCTTTGGACTTGATGTTTGATATTAAAACATTCAACAGTGTTATCATAAATTTGAAATATTTTTTTTTCAGAATACGTTACATGAGACGAACAAAATTCAAGATTATGTTTCAGTACAAGAAGACAGTTCTGTTCTAGATCTAGGTTTAAGAAATAAAACAATAATTTGAGGATATACTTTATTTGATCTAAATCGACAGAAAACAGATTCAGAAATTAAAATATTCTTAAACCTAAGTCAAGCGCTTATAAAATAAATTCGAAAACATTGTTTTAAAAAAATCATATGGCACCAATTTTTTTTAAAGTAATACTTTAAGGAACATATAAAAAGTCTTGTCTTTGAGCCCAAAAATATTTGTGCTCTTTTTTAATATTCGGTTGAATTAAATTCAACTTATAAATATATTCACTGGCAACACAATACAAATGTATAAATGCAAAAAATGGCACGTAAATATGTACGTTGTTGTGTGACACTTGCAGTGATGTTGCTGTCTCTCTTTTATCAAAGAGAAGGAATGTGACGACAATATACATTGGAATTTGAATAAGCGAGAGTGGAAGGGAGCGCGATATATTTCTCGCTGATGAAGGTGGTGTTGTCTGAACCGTACAATCACTTTCTCTCGCTTATCCAGATTCGACTGTAATTAAACACAAGTACCAGTACAGTGGAGTTTTAAGGCTAAAATTACAACACGTACATCTCTCGCAAATCTGCGACACTAATTTGAGATCAAAAATTCAAATAAACAAATATAATATGTTGAGAATTTAACAAACAACTCAGTCATTGTATTTATGTTTGTTAGACAAAGATCGATAATTTACTGTTATATACTTTCTCAAAAGAAAAAACAATTCAGAATCAAAAATGAATAAGAATAAAATATATAGAATATGTTTATCCTACACACACATATATATAATAACCACTTGAGTGGAGAAAAGAGAGAGACAATTTGGGAATGTCAAGTTCCTACTCTAATTGGCTAAACGGACGAATATAATTTAGTATAATTTTCATTTAGAACAATCCGTTATTTTTTAGTATCGGTGGTTTGTATCTTTGGCAATTGTTCATCATATTTGTATGCAACAATACAAATATCCAATGAGATGTTGCGGAGCGCAGATGTGGTGCAGGCATGGTGCAGGCATGGTGCAGGCGTGATGCTGCACAACCAACTGTTGGCTTCACAACACTCGTCTACACAACTATATAACATTAACAATAGACATTTAGAGGATAGTATAAGAGTACGATAGCGAACATCGATTGAAATCCTAGTTTCAGAGATGAAAGGTAAGATGATGTTTGTTTATGCGGTGTTGTTCTGCTCGTGCTGCAGCAGCTGCGCCAAGTTGCCGATGTCCATCTCGTGGACGTGCTTCCCCGAGAAGTGCACGTAGTCGTGAGGCTTGGCGTCCACCGCGCGCTTGTGAACTGTAGCGAAAATACTTATTAGTTGAGACACTGTTGTCGCATTAATTGAATGTGATGGGTATGTTGTGTGTACCGAGACGGGTGTGGTCCTGCTGCAGGCGGTAGGTGGGGCGGGTGCGGCAGGCGGCGGGCAGGCCGGGCAGCGCGGAGAGGTCGTGCAGCGCGGGCAGCATGGCGCGCAGGCCGGAACGCACGCGCGTCACGTCGAACTCGCCGCCGCTCTCGATGCTGGCGATGAACGCGTCCGGCACCAGCACCGACTCCAGGTCCAGGTCCGTGATGAAGCAGCGCTCCTCGTCCACGATGTCTGGTGGACAAACACATTCATTTCATTGGTCACCTTTGTTCATTACAGTTATATTTTGCTTCTCTCTCATTATCTGATAGACTCACTGGTGAAGTTGTTGGTGAAGTCGTGTATGAAGTTGACTTGGTGTCCGTTGTTGTAGACGGAGATCTTCTCGGTCATGCCGTCGCGGTCGATGTCGAGCTCCTCACGCAGCACGCTGAGGAGTTGCTCGGCGGTGGCCGCGTCGCTGGTGCTCACCACGTGCAGCTCGGGTTCCGACGACCAGCGCAGCGGCATCACGCGGAAATTTTTCTCAATCAGGCGCCCCTGATTCTGTAATGATAGCAATGATCCATGTTACGAACCAAAACTGATGGGAAGTCAGGATGTAGCTTACATTAATGTAATTAGGTTTTAGAGCTGTAAAATTCATCAGTAAATATTACATACCTATTTTATAATGAAATCTATATTTACCTTGAAATCGATGGGGATAGTGCAGTATCCCTGGTAACGGCGCACGGAAGTGGTCTTAACGAACTGGCGATAGATGAGTACGCTCATGGCCACAAACATGAGGACCAGCATGGATATGTTTACTAAGTGGAATATCATGACCGCAAAGCGGCGCAGCGGCCCGGGCACCCGGTACCGCCGCGGCTCGGGTGACTCCGATAGCGGCGGCACCGCTACTTTAGCCTACACAAAAATAAAACAAATAAAAGATTCGCCAGTTTTTAAGATAAACCCCGACTAAATGTATTTGTGTGCCCATAGATATGTATTTACCATCATAAATAGAAAATGTATGCTATAATGTTTTATTATTTAGTAATTGTTTTATCGTTTTCATTTCATTTAAGATTCAGCATTCATTAACTCATTCTTTCATCTTCATATCTTCTTTTATCAGTTTCTATAAAATATCACCATAGCTCATAAATAATCAATAACTGCGCTAACTGCGATGTAGGTCAAACGGACATCTTGCTTATCAATTTATGTTATTGATTTTCACCTGCATTGAATAAGTACCACTTGACTTTGGAATGGATTTATAAAAATTATTGCGAACATTGTAATTCTCAAAGCTTATCGGACTTCAACAATAGATTTCCAAATCATGTTTTAAATGTATTGTAAAATTGGTTTCGGTAAATATTAAAACATACTGCGCACTTACCTCGGGACAGGCAACTTCTTCAACCAACTGTAGTTTGCCGATATCAGTTTGATTTAGTATTATACAACCCTTTGGAAATACAGTCATGGTTATTATTTTTGTATTTTTTCTTGAAAAGAATTATTTATGATACCGTAATTATCACACAGCGCAGAAACCACTTCAATCAATACCGCTCGAAGTATGAAGTTAGCTCAAGATTTTGACGGAAGAATGACTCGCCCAATCTGGCCCAATCGCCGTAATCGATTTAACATCAGCTAACTTCACTCCGATACCTTCCATTCCTGTGGTGGAAGAAAATCTTTAGATTTTTTTTTATATATCTTAAAATAAAAATTGCGTCGTATTTTTCTTATAAGTAATAAAATGGCACAGTTTTTATTAACCTTATTAAAATAAAAACAATTAAAAATATCTGTAACGTTTTCTAAATGCGCTGTTTGTAATTTTTGAGATATTTATTACATTTTAAGTAAAACGAATGCACAATTAACTCTTACTGATTTTATTTACAAGCGATAAAATTTTATTGAAAATCTGAGATTTTGAATCACATCTAAAAATTATAAACCTAGGAAATTGCTTTGATGCCACCTCGTCAGTTTCTGAGTCTGCAGTCTGCAGGATAAAAATAAAATTTAGTCACTTGTCTGTGGTTTAGAAATTAGAAAAAAGTAAAGAAAAGAGAATTCAATTCAAGGTGGACGGAAAACGGTTTTCTGTTGTAGAATATTCTTTATAAAAGAGGTTAATGAATCATCAACGTCTAGGGTGTGCTTAAAACATGTTCGATTAGTTTGTTACAATTTTGTTTTAAGTTGATTCTTTGTTTAATTGTGTGTTACGTCTGAACGTTAGTTCATCAAACTTACGAGCACAATAAAATGGCGACCGACCCGATGAAAAACCGCATGCATGTCTTCAAGAACACAGGAAAAGATGTTGATGTAAGTAGATTCAATGTTATCACGAGTAATATACGAATATACTGTAATAAATGCCTTTACAAAATTTAATTGTCACATGGTAAATTTTAGGAAATGCGGAGGCGGAGGAATGAAGTGACAGTAGAACTACGGAAAAATAAAAGAGAGGAAACTCTCCAGAAACGTAGAAATGTCCCCATCAGTGATTCAACAGATGAAGACGAAGTGGAACGACCTACAAATATCGAAGAGCTAGTGATCAACGCGGCAAAAGCTGACAACATCGAAATACAACTGGCCGCGGTGCAACAATGTAGAAAGTTATTGTCTTCGGACAAAAACCCTCCCATAGACGAACTCATCGCAGCCGGCATTCTTCCCATCTTAGTTCAGTGCCTTTCCCGAGCGGATAATCCTACTCTACAATTCGAGGCCGCTTGGGCTCTAACAAATATAGCATCGGGCACCTCAGCACAGACCAACAAGGTGGTTCATGCTGGTGCCGTCCCATTATTCCTTCAATTACTTATGTCGCCACATGAAAACGTGTGTGAACAAGCAGTGTGGGCGTTAGGTAACATAATTGGAGATGGCCCAATGTTGAGAGACTTGGTGGTGGAGCTTGGAGTAGTGAAACCGCTGCTCAGTTTCATCAAACCAAATATCCCTGTATCATTTCTGCGTAATGTGACTTGGGTCATTGTAAACCTGTGCAGAAATAAGGATCCACCACCTACAGTTAAGACTATTCAGGAAATTCTTCCAGCCCTTAATGTGCTTATTACACATTCAGATATAAATGTAAGTAAAATTTCCAGTTCTAGAAAGTTCTACAAAGTAATTACTTTACACAAGAAACACATCTATAAAATAATTTCCAACAGATAAATCATAAAATTTTGAAAAATGCTGTAAAAAATTGTATTTTTCGAATGTTTATATACCCAGAAGCTTGAAAAGTGTAAAAGCTTATAATTATTTGATGAAAAATGGTTAATATGTAGTTTCATACATATGGAAGATTCAAATCAGTATATCTTATGAAGAAATTTGGCTTAAAAATATCTAAGAAGTGATAACGGTTACCTTATTGACATGAAATAAAACCGCATTAGCCCAAGACATGAGTCAAAATTCCCTAATATTATTTATTTTTAAATTTACAATAAAAATAAAACTAGTGCTGAAACAATAAAACGAAAAATGAACATTTGTAAGCACACACACACACAGTGCTCATTTATGGTAACTAGAGGAGTCTTATTACTTAGGGTTTGATCATAATTCATAGTCAAGGATTTTTATTAAAATAGTTTTATGTACTTCTCGGCACAAATTTTAACTCTTATACTTTCATGTTTATCCTTTCACATCCTTTCTTATAATTGAGTATAAAGTGTCCGCTTCATACAATAACATAATGATGTTTGGTACTTATAATATACATTGGATCTTGTGACATTCAATCACATCTTATTTTTGATTGCTAACCTACAACAGCCAAATTATGTCGACTTTACATTCTATTAATATGACAACTTTTATCTTTGCAGATTTTAGTTGACACAGTATGGGCCATAAGTTACCTAACAGATGGAGGCAATGAACAGATCCAAATGGTAATCGACTCCGGCATAGTGCCCAAGCTAATCCCCCTATTGTCTCACAAGGAGATGAAGGCTCAAACGGCCGCACTCCGAGCGGTTGGCAACATTGTGACTGGCACCGATGAGCAGACTCAAGTGGTACTAAACTGTGATGCCCTGTCACACTTCCCTGCGTTGTTGTCACACTCGGTAAGTAATTGTAATGTACATGATATTTGAAAATCTTACCAGTTTATGGTATTTTATGTAATCAGCTGTTAATTTCAACATTTAATATAATTTGTAAGAAAGATAGTTTTGTAAACTATTATATACATTTGGTCTGCAGTTGTTTTTATTTGTTGTTTCTTGATCATATAAATGTAATAGTTTCACCTTAGTTCTTCAGGGATGTGTTGGCAACTCAACCCATTTTTAAGTTGTAATTGAATCAAAAAACTAGAGATTTCATTTTATTATGAGATTAAGAATCCATGTCTCATATTCAAAAAAGATTGATCTTGTTTTAATGCAATGATTTTCATTTGTATATAAATTGTTGCATTGACAGAAAGAGAAGATATGCAAGGAAGCGGTGTGGTTCCTGTCAAACGTGACTGCGGGCAACAAGCAGCAGGTGCAGGCGGTGATCGACGCGGGTCTGCTGCCCAAGATCGTGGAGAACCTGGGCAAGGGCGAGTTCCAGACGCAGAAGGAGGCGGCCTGGGCCGTCAGCAACCTGAGCATCAGCGGCACCAAGGACCAGGTGGCGGCGCTCATCAACTGCGGCGTCATCCCGCCCTTCTGCAATCTACTCAGCTGCAAGGACACACAAGTTATCAGCGTGAGTGATAGTACCGCTTGGTCCCAGATGGAACATTGGAAATGTTGATTCTTGTAATATGTTGGAATAATGCAACCGAGATGTCAAGTGTGCAAAATCAGAAAACTTAATTTTTAATTTAGTTTTAGTGGTATTTTGAAACTAAACCAATAATAGGTACTTACTTGTATATTACTCGGCTACTAAAATGTTATGTACAAATAATAAATATGTAAAATGTGTTAAATTTAACTGTGAGATGAAATTGTGGTGAACAGGTGGTGCTGGACGGGCTGAGCAACATGCTGAAGATGGCCGGAGATAACGTGGAGCAGGTGGCCAACATGATCGAGGAGTGCGGCGGCATCGATAAGATCGAGCAGCTGCAGGGACACGAGAAGATGGAGATATACAAGATGGCGTATGACATCATCGAGCAGTACTTCGCCGGAGAGGTGGGTGACAGTTTCATATGCGTTGTGACAGTTGTGTGGGGTGGGGTGTGAGTGAGAAGGTCTCGTGTTGTGTGCAGGAGGAGGACGCGAGCCTGGCGCCGGCGGCGGCGGACGCGAGCTTCCAGTTCGAGGCGGGAGCGGGGGCGGGAGCGGGAGCGGGCGCGCCGCACGCCGGCTTCCACTTCTGAGCGAGCCGCGTCTTGTGATACTTGTGAACTCTGATGTGATCTTTGGAAATTCTATTCTTTTTCACGATTGTGTTGATTTTATATATATCGTATGGATGACGACATTGTGAATAGCTTTAATGTAATGCGACGGCGGCTGATGTAATCCGCTTACAGATTGTACGGCTTTTTTAATATAACATAGTGGTTATGTTTCGACTTTTAACCTCTCACCTCCCCCCCCCCTGAACCCTGACCCCCTGACCCCCGCCGGCACCCGGGCCGCGGACACGCGCCGAGGAATTATGTTGTGAGCCCGGTTGTATCTTTATAATATACCAATAAAACTGTCCAATACGAACCAAGCATTTTATTTATCATTCAAAGTTATGATGCGAGTCAGTTAAGCTTTGGGGTATAGAAAGGGAAGGACGTCGTAGTCGGTTGCGACGGGATCTTCCAGTTTGCTCGCAGAATCGCTGGCTACTTTCTGAAATAAAATTAATGTAATGAATCCCACATGTTCCATCATATAGCTCTGAATACATTACCGGCTGCAGCGGACGTAAAGCCGTCTTCGACTACTGTGTTGTACAGACAACCTTGTGTTCGCACGCGTAGCACCTCGCGTTGCTGTAGGAGAGCTGCGATGTGTCGGCGGAGGCCTGCGAGCCCCGCGCGCCTGCACGCCGCGCCCCCCGCGCCCCCGACACCTCGTGGTACCGCCCCACTTTGTTCTGAAAGCTATGCAACAAAACTAACGCCCGTCCTATTCTCCATAATACATTTTATGTTACAAATGTTGTCAAATTATAACGTAGCAACAATTAAGCTAGTATTACACGTGATCAGAACGATGAGAGTTAGTAATAAAACAATAGCAGTGACTGGCATTACTTGGGCGGCGGTTTGTGCCAGCGGTTGTCGAGGCGGGTGGTTGCCATGACGACGGCGAGCCGCTGCAGCAGCGTGAAGTTGTCGCGCACGACGCGCGCGCTCCGCTCCGCCTCGCAGCGCTCGCGGCGCAGCTTGCGCGCGACGTGCGGCCGCGCACACGGCGCCCTACTGTCTATCTCCGGCAACGCCGACTTCACCTGACACACGCAGACACAACATTGTTAACCGTGGTTTTCTGTCACCAAAATCTTCATTTAAACACATTTTTATCTCTATTTTGTCAAAGATAGGCATGACGATATGATTTATGCAGAGATTTCAGTCCCAGAAACCTAAGATAAGTGAGATATCACTAAGAAACACGATAGCAGATTACCTTGTTTTATTATTCTTCTTATAGTGAAAATAAAATACAACAACCTTACCGCTCTTTCTGGTCATTCACTCATTCCTATGAATAAAAACACCGCTAACGTTTTCATAAAATTAGCTTTAATGGACGAGTATTCTCTTCCCGTCGAAATACGATACAAAAACTCTTTTTGTTATTTCTTTGTAAATGTGCTAACCTTCAATCGGTGATCCTTGTAGCGGCGATCTTCCCACGGTTGTATCAACAGTTTATCTCTGCGAGACAACATTTCTTCTTAGTATCTAAAGCTAAACTGCTCTTCCTGTGTGTTATTTGATCAATACATATTCGTGTTGCTAAGGGACGCAACGTAACGAAGACAAAACACCTTTCTTTCGATTCGCCATTCGTTTTGAATGCAATCTAATCTTTTGCTTCGTAAAATGCTAGTTGTTTGCTTTCCGTAAATAGACATCGGGGAAAATGTTATGATGAAAACACATTTAGCAAATGAATAAATAAATTATAATTGTTAAATATTAGACTGCACGTACAACAGTATCAATATCATGCTCGTTACATACAGACAATATACAATTGAAAATCTTACAACACTTGGTTACAGTACAAAATACAAAACAAATATCCTTTGAGCAATATAAAAGTAAAAAATAAAACAAATCACTCTAAAGCTAGACGTATTCCACTAATGTACATCTGCTTACATCAGGCTGCATCTCATACGTATTGTTTTACATTTACATATAGTATATATATATCTATGTATGTACTATATACAAATGCTTGCGATATTCAAATCTGTTACGTAACGTGGGAATGTGAGTCAGCAGCTTGTTGTATGTTTTGGCAATGTTTATATTCATAAAGCTATGCGATCGAACTGACAATTTTATATATAATAAATGCTTTGTACAATTTCCATCATGAGGTTATCCAACATAAATATTTTTACACAATTATTACAGACAAAGACCCAAATATATAGATAACTCTTTTCCAGACAAATACTTAGAAAGAGTTGATGTAATTGATTTACTAAAAGAATTCACAAAACAGAATCGTTATTAGTTGAATCAATGTAACATTAATATGTGCAATGCAAATTACATGTTGATAGAATTATCTTCAAGTATTTAGATCTTTGTTCAAAGTTCAAATAAATTCCAAGACGTTGTTACTGCACGCGGTACTAACTTATTTGTGCACACCGTTGTTGCGGCGATACAAAAATGTATATAATCGTTTTCTAGGAAGACGTCCTTTTGGCTCGACTCCGTCGCCAAATCATCGAATACAACGCCTTACTTTATCGAAACTGAAAACATTCAAACCGTATGACTAAAAAGTAACACAATACAATGTACCTAATACACATGTAGTTACGATCGACTTTGCCTCGCATATAATCTAGTTACAATATTGAGTATAAAACGTATTAAATACATCAAAAAGATCTAGCAAATGACCGGCCGCGTAGCCTCGCAGTCGCGGAACATCGTCGCCGGCCTCTTATTTATATCGATTGAAAACATCAAACGAGAACCGAGTCATATCACATGTGATTCATTATCAACATTCACAAGGATGTTTCTCCCGCACAACTCGGAATATTAACATCAAACAAATGACGTCTTCACGTGGTAACTCCCACCAGGGAAAAACACCCTTAACGAACTATTATCCAGTGAATGCTACCCTTAACGCTATATTCCTCGTACAAATCTACACTTGGTGCATCAAAACTTATATCGCTCGAGTGTCGAAAACAAAAGTTTATAGAAAAATAAATTGTCCCGTTTAATTTCAATACTTTTAGGAGTGTCATTTACAAAAGTCCGTACGAATCGTCCTAAAAAGCTGGACACACTAGCGGATACTGTAGAAGGCAATCACTTGAGACGGTTCCTTGTGAGTAAAAGCGCGAGGATAATACGTACACAAACTAAATATTAGGCTTATGGCCGTAAGCCACACTGTCTACGAACTAAATCGTATTAAAAATAAAATACTGGGAACGTCCGCGTCGCAATTTGTATTCATTTAATATAATATTTAATTCTATTCGTAAATATGCGTGCGAGCGATGTGGAAAGCTGCCGTGGGGTTGTCACAACACAACGTTACAGTGTGAACAGCGAGGCGGAGTGATGCCGGCGCATTGACTAGCGGCCGTCACTCAGCGGAAACCGGCGCCGGGAGATTCCTGCCAACGACCACTATTTCTACAGGGTGCTCACTTTTATTTTACACAACTCACTTTCACCATTTTCTCTTATGTATTCGAATGCATTAACAATGTCATATAAACGATAATATTATAAACTTCGGCACTCATTACATTCACTTCTTCACAATTATTGTTGTTCCAATTATCTAGCGCCCTGTATAAACTAGTGACGTACCGTTCACGAATGGGATATCTAATTCGTTGTTTAAATTCACTAGAATTCGATACAAATGAAGTCGTGCGAGCTCCATCCATCCATACATCCCTCTGTCGACTGTCTCTCGATGTCTCCACTCCGCGGTTTTCCCTGAAATGACTTAAGATACAAACTTACCTAGCGCAACATCACATCGTACCCTATGCAACTTGTGTATCACACGTGCACGTGCACGCGCACGCGCACGCGAGCTTTACACTATACAGGCCTTAGGTACCCGATCGATTCACATTCCATCTACCCACGATCGACTTATGTCATTAAACTATATAAAAAATCTTTTTTTTTTATCAATTACACTACATTACTTATATATGACTTAAGAAATAATATGATATAGAAATGGCTCTTATACTTGAACTATAGTATTGAATGCGATAAGAAGCCAATTTTTGGTTTATTATAGATATAGTAAGGTGTGCGGCGGCGCGTGCGCACGTCCGCCGCGCCGCACGGCCGAACTGCGAATGCCCAAAAGTAACGCGATAACCGCCTGAACAGTGGACATAACATATTCAGCATTTGTTCTCAAATTCCTCAGAATCCGAGACAATCAATTTATCTAATAAATTTTATTTCAGTAAATCAGTGATGGAATCCTTTGCTGCCCCTTTCAGTTCGATTCCCCTGCACCAATGATGGAAGCGGTTTTAATTACTTTTCATACAACAATCTAGTTTATTTCTATCATAGACTAAAGAATTAGCTATACACATTTTCATAAAATTCTCATGACAATTGAATGTGTAAAATACCATAGATTTATTTACTAACAGATTGTTTGTCTATTTTTATTTTTCGCCAAACTTTGCGCAATATTTTGAAATTTGTAAACAGAATAATAATTAAATTAACAATCAAACTTTCGTGAGACATTATACTAAACTGATATATAAAAACGTCTAAACACTCACGTATATTCGTCCGGTGGCGGCACCGACTAGTTTCGAGTCCATCGGGCCCATCGGGGAGCCCCCGCCACCGGACGTGTTTATATATCAGTTCAGAGTAATAATAAAATCATTTTAAAATTGTCATTCACCGTGTTGCTTAAATATGCCAGAGTATATATTAAATACATATATTGAGTCGACAATCTAGTAGCCAACTAGTATGTTAGATGAACGCAAGAAGACTTTGTCTTGTTGGAAAAAAAAAATGGTTGCAGTTGGAACAATTTGACATCCATCAGTTTTAGCATCATGAGGTGAGCTGCTTAAAGCATTGATTTAAGTGAATGTAACATCTGACTATGCTATAGGCCTTTCAATTTATTTTTATATTTTATTCTAACAGATATAAATGCAATAATCATAAAATACATGAGAAATAGATGAAAGTTCATGAAGATGTTAGTTGTTATCATATTTAAGTTATTGCTTTAATCATCTTATTATATAAATATATTACATAAAAGTTGCTAACGTCTTATTTCAATAATAATTACAAGTGATGATCTGACGTAGTTAAACTTATTCACTGACGATTTAAAACGAAATACAATAAATTTCTAAGTTGAATAAGACTCTGTGTTGTAGCTGAAATGTATGTGTATGGTGTTTTATATTTATTTATGCAGTTGTTATATTCAGTAAATGACATGATGTAGTGTCATCACAGCACATTCATTTATATCTAATGGAAGATTACACAATTATTTTGACACCATATTTATGCATAAATGTTCAAAAAATATGTAAATGTAAAAAAATAAATTAAAATTTCAAAAATTCCATAAAATGAATAACTATAAAATGATGTTAAAATGGCAACTTTGGAGTGGTGTCAAAATGACATCTGGCATATTGGTGTGTATAACGTTATATATGAGAGGATATGTGATGTGAGTACATTGTGATGTATATGAGAAAGCGCAGGCAGCAGGTGAAAGTGTATCAGATAGTATTGAAGACTTTGAAGAAGAAGTTGCTTGATGGTTCGAGTGGTATTCAAGCTTTCATCAATTGACATTGTTTTCCATTGATACCACATAAACTTTATCCATTTTTCCGTGTACGATGAAACGTTAGGCACAGCACTGCGGGGCGGGGCGGGGCTCGGCACTGCGGGGCGCGGCTCGGCCGGCAGTGCGGGGCAGGTAGGGGCGGGGCTCAGCACTGCGGGGCGGGACGCGGCAGCGGGCGCACGAGGTAGAGCTTCTCGCCCTGCTTGTTGGTGTAGATGGGCGCGCGCTGGTAGTGCGCCACCAGCTGGTCCAGCGTGGGGAACTTGCGCTGCCCGATGCAGTACAGGCTGCCCTCCACGTGCACGCGGAAGTGCTTGTTGCGCCCCGGGGCCTTCAGCGACACCGAGTAGTCGCCCACCTGCAACGCGACGAGGTGCAACGGTCAGTATGAAACAAGTGGAGCGAGAGGAGGGTGGAGGTGAGTGCAAGTGTATGTGCGACTGACGTTGGTCTCGGAGTCCCGGATGAGGAAGTCGCCGTCGTGTCCGTGCTGGTCGAGCAGCGTGTCGCAGTGCATGCGGGTGATGGCGCCGTAGTACCAGGCGCGGCCGAGCGGGGCGGGGCCCGCGCCTCCCGCCGCGCCCCCGCTCGCGCCTTTACCGGCGCCGCGCCCGCCCTCGTTCGCCTCGCTGACGACAACATTCATGTTTTTGTTTTAAACGTTTCAAGAGTTAAGAAGACGGAGAGGGACGGAGAGCGACAGAGACCGACCAGTAGGGCTGCGTGAGGTAGTCGGCGAGCTCCTGCAGGTAGTTGCGCGGCACGAGGCCGACCTGTCCGCGCGAGTCGCGGGCGCGGTACCACTCGGGGTCGGAGGGCGGGCGCTCCACGATCTCCAGCCGGTCGCCCTTCTCGAACGACAGCTCCGCCTCGTTGTTGGACGTGAACGAGTACAGCGCCACCTGACACGATGCAACATATCACACATTTAACACTGCAATATTTACCTGTACTGGAGTTGCTGCTCCATTTGTAATTACTCACCACAATGTCGAGGACATTCTCCGCCATTGCGTACGTGTGCACCGGATCTTCATTGTCGCCTTCTTCACTCGTGTAGTTCGATGGAAACCTGAAAGTATGCAATAAAAGAATATAAATCTGGTCGTAATTTTGTGAGAGCAGGTGTTGGAGTTGAGGGCGTATGTAGTGTAACATGTACCGACCATCCCGTGTGTCCCTGGTACTGTCCGCGCCACCAGCCGTCGTTGCTCTTCTCTAGGATGAGTATCCTGGTGCCCTTGGTGAGGGACAGCTCGTCGGGCTGCTGCGCCTGGTAGTTGTACTTGACGACGGCGGTGCCGAGCGCGTCCACGGGCTCCGCGCGCCGCCCGCCCGGCCCCGCGCCGCCCGCGCCCGGGGACTCCGGCCCGCCCCGCACCGGGGAACTATTCGACGGTAAGGTCTTCGAGCCCGAACCCTTTTTCACCTTCTTTTTGATACTGAAAATGTAACATGTTTATTTTAAATAAATACAAATTTTATATCTGTGTCATTTACCATATGAATAACTTCAAAATACGGCGTAGACTCACACTTGGCGACAAATTCACAAATATTTTTGAGTTCCTCCTATCATTTATAAATTAGTTGCATTGTCTAGTGGTATAATTATAGTGTATTGTATGTTTTTATCACTAAATTATGTAAATAATTTAAATAGAATTTGTATAAAATATAATAATATTACATTAATATCTGCAAGTTTGTTGTAGTGGCACGACAGTCGCGCATAATAAATTCTACCTAGAAGACGTTATCGTGCGAGACCAATGCCAGTCGCAACTCGCAACTACCGCTGTGGGCTATGGGCTTTGGGTTGTGGGTTGTGGGCTGTGGGATGTGGGATGGTTCGACAATGAGATAAACTTACATGGGAGCAGATACATTAATAATTGTCACAGTGCTGTCAAACATAACCATGATGTACAAACACACGTCACTTACAAGGAGGCTTGTCACTTTGTTAAAAATGAAGTATACTACTTTATCTAATTGTATATTATTATAAATATTTTAAAAACGTCAACGTGTGAAAATCTACTGTCATTCTAAACTATGCAAACAATTAAAACACAGAGGGTGTATCCAATATGAGGTTACATGCCCTTTGAAATTTGAACCCCATTCTCGGCCCTTAATTAATTGCAGCCGGCGACTGTACTCAAATTGTTTCATTATGCAGCGATATAACAATATGGTACATTTAAATATACATTGGGTTAGTGATACATTGGCGAGAGGTAAATGTTTAGAGTGGTCATTATAAACAAGTCTAAGGAACTGTACATTGTCAAACGAAAAGAGTTACATATCTCAAAGATCTCATACCAGATATAACTCTTTTCATCGGATGATTGGATTTTCGTTGAGCTGTTCCCCGTTATAGGAGCCGCTCGAATAGAAACAATGCATGTATGTTCACCTGTCGAAAAGAGAGGGTTTTTCCTTCTTGACGTAATTGCTGGGCACATAACCGGACTGGCTGCGCGCATTCTGCACGCGCCACCAGTGCTTGGAATCGTCGAGCAGCAGGTAGCGCTCGTTCTTGCGCAGGTCCAGCTCCTGAGCGCCCTGCGCCGCGTAGTCGTACTTCGCCACCACATAGCACACGTCGTCCTGCAATACAATACAACACTTATCAGACTCCATGTAATGATACAGGTAGAGAACACTGAACTCTAATGTTCTCTCGTTTTATTTACACTACGAATATAGCGAGACGACAAAAGTATAACAAAGATATTTAAATTAAACTGTTTTGCTAATTCAAGCAATAACTATAAATGCGGTAATAGATGTTATTGTAACCTAATAACAATGGTGTAAAATAGTAACTTTGACAAATTACCACGACTTTAACAACGCCAGTAACCAGTAATGTTCTATGGCATATAACTTTAGGAAAAGGTAACGTGGATTTGAACGAGGTTTGCATATTTGAAGGCCAACTGCTCACCCACGGTACACGGCTGTAGAGGACTACTTTGTACTTTTGATGGCAATTTATATGAATGAGAGAGCTGCAAATTAAAATTAATGATCTTGAAAGTTAAGTAAAAATTTTGATTTAGAGCTGAATGGATTGGAGCCATGACAACTCGGAAACAATCAGTGGCAAACTACGTAAATGAGTGAACTTAAATTATCTATGGTTGATATAATTATAGAGTATTCTTGCAGTACGAGGAGCGCATCAAGTGCAGAAGGTCGCGGGAGACATCGCGCGGCATTAGGAAGGTCAATCGTCCCAAATTAATCTATTACGGTGTCCGTCCCGACCGTCTTACAGCACTGTCGCTTGCACTCGCGTCTTTAACAATTTTTATTACAATAAGCAGACTAGCGATAAACATATTAAAATTAATTTTTGCCCCGAAAGTAAGCATTCCTGTATAAATAGGGATATAACATTAGATGATGGCTAGAATCTCCGAGGCGAATACTCAATACGTTCCAACTATTGAGATTTTCGGTAAATTTAGAAACGATTTCTTTTTACTCTTGATTTCTCTCAGGAAGAATACGAAAGATAGAATTTAATCAGTACAAACCGGTTGTGATATGAATCTCTGTTATAGACAAGATTACTAACAATATTTCACCTTCATAAAAACATGAATACACTAAAATTAAAAAATGTATCGGAGATATTTTAGAACAAGCTTTTTGAAGACGAGATAACGGAGCATAAAGTTTGAATTTCGCGATGTTGACGTAGTCATCGTTCCAGTAACGGCATCATAGGCCACAGTCAAAAAATAGCCACATCCGGCGTCGCGCAGTAGACGGCGACTCGTAACCCACCAGGAAACAACAATTAACATTATACGAGCGCTTATAAAATATTTCACACGATCAGTCCGCGACTGGAGCAGATCCAGAAGGAATTATGAAAACAATTATTTCTAGAATTTTCATTACCATAATCTCGATGAACTCAACACCAATTTATTGGTTCTTGCACCATTTTATACTGTGTGTAATAAGTACCTAGCGACGATTTGAGCGTAAAGTAGAGGTCGGAATAATATTATAGAACGATCTAGTTGCTTGTCAGGAATACGCATAATTTTGACCTGTTCCCTTCGATACTAGTTCCGAAAAAGAAAGGTAACTAAAAATGCAGTAAGTTTATCAAATTTTCCTTATTGAGGAATAATTAATTATTCTTATATAATTTACAACGAAGCGGCGCGCAGTGAAATCGCTCCCGAAGGCCGCAATCAATGAGCGTAGTTACAATATGCACAAAATAAACGCCTCATGATATCAATATAAAATACATATTACGTATAGGTAGAGTATGATATAAGAATGGAGGCGATAACGGTTGCACGATACACTTACGATCTTTTAATCAAAGTTTGAAATTTCCTTCGATATTTACATCTTAAAATTCTAAAATCGATTTCCAGACAAGTAAAAGAGTACTTTTGAAGAAGTTTCATCTAAAAATATTTTTTCCCAGCTCACATAGTTCGTCTATTAATTTAGAGCTGTGCAAAAAAACAGATGTATTGGTCTCGTCGAGGTGATGACGTAATTGGACTTAGATATATCCTTAATTTTATTCTAGCCTACGAATGAGTAACGCAATTGGATTCAAAACTCATTTTCAATACATTCAATCTGTTATACGAAACATATTGTAGAAATAGGAAAAGGAGAGCTAAATCAAGTTTAGTCATAATACGCCTACGCACAAATATTCGTTGCTTTTGCGATGGTTTTAAAAGTGAAATGTGTATGTGAATGATTTAAAATTCACTTAAAATTCAATAAATTCTCGGACTGAATATCAGTCTGGGTCACGGGCCTGTTTTTTACACAATGTAAACGACGAAGTTTTCTAATGTTTTTTAAATCTTCTGGTATAAATTCGTAAGCCTATGACTGCGTTAATATTAATGACGTAAGTGTTTGCAATTAACCGAGCGCATATCCTTGCGTAGAAGCAAAACAATCGCGACTTAGTGTGCCGTGTCACGCCTACATAGTTAATAATTTAGTATGGCTGGAAAAAATAATCTTGCATAGGAGGAAGATAAATATATCGATATTAATAAATCTCTAGTCAAAAAATTTCAACATGGGAATTTGATTACGGCTTTGCACAGCCTTATTTAAGTCAATTTATTAGTCACTTTCTAATTAAAGCTTCATAGTCCTTTCAATAAACAACATCTAAACATCCATTTGGAGTGCAGTATCAAAAAGTAATTTGGTAGTATTTAATTTATCTAGAAGCACGGCAATGCCCTCACAGAGAATTCAGAGTGACCTGGAAAATCACTTTTAGAGTGTGCACATGGTATAATATTTATGATAGTATGTGTTTTTGTGATTGGACCTAGTTTTGCAATGGTAAAAACAATGTGTTGCCTTGTATTCTTATGTAATTTTCTCATGTCATGTGAATCTAACTTATGTATAGTCTTCATATGTATAACTTTTCATTCCAATATATATAGTGCATCTTTATTTTTATTTTCCTATTTAAAGGGACTGTAAACTTGAGAATTAGGAGAGTAAATTTATAGCTACTTTTAAAGGTTTATTAAATTTATTTCTAGGTAACAACCAAGGAACCACTTTTATCAATTAAAATCAGTCCAGAGGTAGCAGTTATTAATAAGTTTTTAAAGAGACCAATTAAAAAAATTAATAAATATTTGGTTATATATCATAGTTTGGCAATATGATCAACAGGAAAATAATAGATCAATTAAATTTACATTACTAAAACAAAATAAGCACAAGATTCTTCATTCATGCCAATGGATAACAAGTCCAAGGTTCTATTTCACAAGTAGATCTCTGCAAAGATTATACTAGTTCCTTTATGCTACTACACTATACTAATGCCTCATTGCCTTTATTTTCCATTTTATTTTCACAAAATTAGATTTGCAAATTATGTACAACTAGTTTTTAAAACATTGTATTAACAGATTTTTTCAACAATTTATCAGTAGAATTCTAAACAAACAAAGGTGGCTCAATTCTCCAAGTTAGCGATGGTTGACTAACAACATACAGGACAATACTTTGGGCATGTCACTAAGCTATATAAAAACTGCTAAATCTCTCAATTATGTTCGTCCAATGTTGGCACCGGATGTACATATGTGTTTTAGTCACTTTTATATAAGTTTGTGATAATGTCACACAAAAGTTTGAATAGTTTAATGGCATGACACTGATCCAAAAAATATTTTTACGCAGTATGAAAAAAGTGTGTAGCAGATATTATATGAGGAGTGTACACCAGTGATCAGTCAAAAAAAAATGTATGAAAACATATAGTCATCCTGTTTGATTTCAAAATAACAGAGAGTGTAATCTCACTGTATAATACCGAGTACACAAAGTGATTGATAGATGTTTGTATCACAATTACGTTAAAGTTGTACTTACTAGATTTAAACTCTTATGGCATCTCATGGTTTTGTGTTAACCAATATTTTGAAGATAGGTACATAAATTCTATCTACATTCTATCTCAATTTTAAACATACTTAATAAATTGATAAGATTTCTCTACTGTCCTGGATTGAGACATAGGACAGAAGGAAAATCATCTCAAAACTTTAACTTAGTCCAAAGTATAAAGCAAATGCGATATGGCCAGTCCAATAGGATTGCGGACCAAGATGAAATATATTTTGTTGATGCACATCTAGTCATTGAACTGAATTTAAGACAGGCATTGTATATCCTATTGAGCATTTACAATAACACAGTACAATTCATGACTCACAATAACAATGATAGCAACTTAATATTCAATTTTATTATATTTTGTACAGCCCACCTGCCATTACTTACTTAACATAGTTATGATACTTGTAATTTCAATTAATACATATATTTCAATGTTTATGGATTGATGTAATTATATTACGTTTTTCGTTCTTAATTTTAATTGGTGTATAAATGTAAACCATACATACATGGTCAAAAGTTTTAGAAGGCAGCATGATAGATATCTAGTATTATTTTAATTTGCAGTTTTAGAGATGTTACCTGAGCATTCTTCCCGTGCCTAGCATTAGCCATGGCGTGCGGCGCCGGCAGCGGCTTGTTCGCCCACACCGAGTCAGCGGCGCGCACCGACCGCGTCTCCAGCATGACCCCCCCTGGGACCCCTGGCGCCGCACCCCGACCGCTGGCTCACTGTTCCATCGCGAACCTGCACTGCACTGCACTGCACCGCAATGCACCACAACACTGATTCTCGTCGTTTGCACTCGAATACGTACTACCGGCACAAGAACCTTTCAGGAACTCACAACACTTATTGTCAAACGTGCGAAAATCCGATCGAAAGCTATTTAGCGAGCAGCGGATAGATGTGCATGGGGATTGATCACTTCGACACTTGCATCTAATTATTTATCACTTAATTATTAATGCAGTCGCTTTATTTACAAAGTATTATAAAATAATAGTATAATTCTTTCAGAATATCGGTACATTTGTGAATTTTATATAAATTTCACATTACTCGGTGGGGCCGCGACGAATCAATAGACAAAAGAAAGGATTTATTTTTATTAGTACTCGAACCATAGACAATATTGTGAACCGGTCCAAGAAAAATAAGTTTCGCATTTTTTAAGTTTTTCGATAAGTGCATGTAATTATTATGATAAATTCACCGAAGATTTCAGTTGTTTTGATTTCTTCGAAGCTGTAGACATTTTGTTTCTTCAACAAAGACATTTGCAGTCTAATTTTAATCTGTACTTGTCACGTCTACTAGTTACTGATTACGTTTTCTTCGACATTTTGTTGGGTTTTCGCTCAATTTTTCATTTTGAAATCCTCAAAGTCTCAATGGTTTCCTAAAACAAATAAATAGTAAGAATGTCTGATTCGGAAGGGAGTAATTTTTCAGGCAGTGGCTCAGACGCGGCCAGTGTCGTATCTAATAGATCTCGTAGAAGCGCTGCATCAAATCGCTCTATATCCCGATCGCGGTCGCGATCACGCTCTGGAAGTCGGAGTCCTTCCCGGAGTCCCTCTAGATCACGCTCGAGGTCGCGCTCCCGTTCCCGATCTAGGTACATAGTTTTAAATTGTAAATTGTCAAAATGCCAACTCGTAATGTTGGACGAAGTTATGCTGTGACCTCATGATGCTAAACATTTACCAGAAGCCGTTCCGCTGCATCCGATGCCAGTCGCAACAGAGATGATGAAGCTAAGGAAGCGTCAGGCGATGAAGATGTCGAGGTAAATTTAATTAATGTGTTTAATTGTAGTATGGTTTCTCACAAGCCCTATTTGTTATTTGCTTATTTATTGCTGTATAGATTGGTTGTCTTTAGGAGTATAATGTAATAATCATGTCATAATTAAATATTGTAATTTTGTAAGTTGTTTTTTTGCGAAGTGAATGTACTGATATTTAAAACTGGTATGTAAAATTTAGGTTATAATTTGATCACACTATTGCCAGTGGTTCCCACAAATGTGCAAGAAAAAAAATTGTAGTTTTATTTTTATAGGATGAACAGGAGCCTGAAGGTGAGGATCTGGTAGACTCTGAAGAATATGATGAAGATGAGGAAGAAGAAAGACGAAGAAAGAAGCGAAAGAAGGACAGTCGGTATGGCGGGTTCATCATTGATGAGGCTGAGGTAATTTATACTATTTTGAAGAAATAGCAAAAAAAAATAGTTTTTAAATAAGTACTTTGATGACATATTTGTGACAGGTGGATGACGAAGTTGATGAAGATGATGAATGGGAAGAGGGCGCTCAGGAAATGGGCATCGTGGGGAATGAAGTGGATGAAATTGGCCCCACAGCTCGAGAAATCGAGGGTCGTCGCCGTGGGACCAATCTGTGGGACTCGCAAAAAGAAGAGGAGATTGAAGAATATTTAAGGAACAAATATGCCGACGAGTCTGCTGCATTGCGACACTTTGGTGAAGGTGGTGAGGAAATGTCAGATGAAATCACCCAGCAGACCCTCTTGCCGGGAATCAAAGATCCAAACCTGTGGATGGTGAAATGTCATATTGGTGAAGAAAAGGCAACAGTTTTACTGCTAATGAGAAAGTTTATTGCATATAAAAATTCAGAAGAGCCTTTCCAGATTAAATCAGTTGTTGCTCCGGAAGGTGTTAAAGGCTATGTGTACATAGAAGCTTACAAACAAACGCATGTTAAAGCCATTATAAACAATGTTAGTGCTTTAAAAATTGGCACGTGGAAACAAGACATGGTGCCAATTAAAGAGATGACGGATGTTCTGAGAGTGGTCAAAGAACAGTCCGGTTTAAAACCAAAGCAATGGGTCAGATTAAAGAGAGGATTGTACAAAGATGACATAGCTCAAGTAGATTACGTAGATCTAGCTCAAAATCAAGTTCATTTGAAGTTGCTACCGAGAATAGATTACACACGACTTAGAGGTGCTCTGAGAACAGTGCAGAGTGAAAGCGAAGCGGCGAAACGAAAAAAGAAGCGTCGTCCGGCCGCGAAGCCTTTCGATCCAGAAGCGATCCGCGCTATCGGTGGCGAGGTCACCTCCGACGGTGACTTCCTTATATTTGAGGGTAATAGATATTCAAGAAAGGGCTTTTTGTACAAGAATTTTACCATGTCAGCCATCTTGGCGGAGGGCGTCAAGCCATCGCTAACGGAGTTGGAAAGATTCGAGGAACAACCGGAGGGTATCGACATAGAACTGGCGGCGCCGGCCAAAGACGATCCAACAAGCTTGCATTCATTTTCGATGGGCGATAACGTCGAGGTGTGTTCCGGGGATCTCGCAAACTTACAAGCCAAGATCATCGCTATAGACGGGTCCATGATCACGGTGATGCCAAAACATGACGCCCTGAAAGATCCCCTCGTGTTCAAGCCGAACGAGCTGAGGAAGTATTTCAAGCAGGGTGACCACGTGAAGGTGTTGGCGGGCCGCTACGAGGGAGATACGGGGCTCATAGTCAGGGTGGAGCCGCACAGGGTCGTGCTAGTGTCGGACTTGACCATGCACGAGCTGGAGGTGCTGCCCAGAGATCTCCAGCTGTGCTCGGACATGGCGACCGGCGTGGATTCTCTGGGTCAGTTCCAGTGGGGCGACATGGTCCAGCTGGATCCGCAGACCGTGGGCGTCATCGTCAGGCTAGAAAAGGAAAATTTCCACGTTCTAGGTATGCAAGGAAAAGTGATAGAGTGCAAACCTCAAGCGTTGCAGAAACGTCGCGAGAACAGATTCACGACGGCGCTCGACTCCGAGCACAACTCTATCCAGAAGAAGGACATCGTGAAGGTGATAGACGGACCTCACGCCGGCCGCGAGGGCGAGATCAAGCACCTGTACCGTAACTTCGCCTTCCTGCAGTCGCGCATGTACCTCGACAACGGCGGCATCTTCGTCTGCAAGACGCGTCATCTGCAGCTGGCGGGCGGGGCCAAGGGTGCGGGCGTCGCCAACGCCCTCGCGCTCGGCTTCATGTCCCCGCGCATTCAGTCCCCCATGCACCCCTCGGCGCGCGGCGGAGGCGGCGGCGGACGCGGGGGGCGAGGCCGCGGAGGCCGGGGCGCCGTCGCCCGCGACCGCGAGCTGCTCGGCCTCACCATCAAGATCACCGGCGGACCCTACAAGGGTAACGTGGGCATCGTGAAGGACGCCACGGGCAGCACCGCGCGCGTCGAGCTGCACACCATGTGCCAGACGATCTCCGTGGACCGCGGGCACATCGCGCCGGCGGGCGGCGGCGCGCGCGGCGGCGCCTCCAGCTACTCGCGCACGCCGGTGCGCATGACCGGCTCGCACACGCCCACGTACCGCGAGACCGGCATCAAGACGCCGATGCACGGCTCCCAGACGCCCATCTACGAGTCCGGCGCGCGCACGCCGCACTACGGCTCCGCCACGCCGTCGCACGAGGGCGGGCGCACGCCGGCGCACGGCGTGTGGGACCCCACGGTGTCGGCGACGCCCGCGCGCCCCGACTTCGAGTTCGAGGAGAGCGCGGGCCCGGCGTACGAGTCGAGCTCGTACGGGCAGGGCCCCTTCACGCCGCAGACTCCGGGCACCATGTACGGCTCCGACCACTCGTACAGCCCGTACCGGCCGAGCCCCAGCCCGGCCGGCTTCCCCGCGGGCTACCTGGGCGCGCCCAGCCCCGCCGATTACTCGCCCAGCTCGCCGGCGTACGCGCCCGCCACGCCCGCCGCGCCCGGCACACCCGCGCCCGCGCCCGACTGGCACACCACCGACCTCGAGGTAATGTCTCTCTTCCCCGCGCTGATGCAGCAGCTCTCCCTGTGCGTGTAGTACTGTACCGAGTGTGCGTGTGCGTGTGCGTGGTGTTGCAGGTGCGCGTGACCGGTCTGGCGGAGGAGGCGCTGCGCGGGCAGGCGGGCGTGGTGCGCGCGGTGTCGGGCGGCGCGTGCAGCGTCTTCCTGCCGCACGACGACCGCGTGGTGACGCTGCCCGCCGCGCACCTCGCGCCCCTCGTGCCGCAGTCCGGCGACAGGGTCAAGGTAGCGGCGTCCTCTCTTACTCCGATTCTTCAATGTTTGTGGAGTTGTTTAGCTTACAATTGTGCGCACACCAGGTGATCGCGGGCGAGGACCGGGAGGCGGTGGGGCAGCTGATCTCCATCGAGAACCAGGAGGGCGTCGTCAAGTTCGGCTCTGACGACATCAAGATCATGCAGCTGCGGCACCTCTGCAAGATGAGCGCCGCGTAGTGCGGGGCCGCGGACTCGCCGCACAGAGACCAAACTCCTATTGTTGCAGTCTTGTAATGTACACACGTACATTGATAACTCTCTCTATGAATTCACCATCTCCAGATTAAAAATGGTAAAGACAGGAACAAAACTCATACTCGTAATTTCCTTCCTCTCTGTTAGTTCGCGTCCCTTTTATACTCGTACTCGATACCTAATTTTAAAATAAACTGAATCAACTGACAAATAATTTTCTATAATCATAATGTAATAGTTATTTTTTAACGTATTTCTGTTCAACATTTATTATCTTAAGTTTAATCGTATTGTATTATTTTTGCTATGTTAACGGAAGCAAAGAAAATTTATGAGTATGGTTTGGGCTTATTTTATGGAAAAATAAAATGACTGCAACATAAGAGCAGTATTACTTGTTATTCATCATGTATCTGGGCAGAGATGGCCGCTGGTGAACGGTGAACGATCTTGTATTCTTGTATAAATAAATATACGAGGATACAAAATGGTTGCTATGATGGGAAACTTTTGAATGCGTTGTAATTTCACCATCATCCAAGGAATGCTGTGAACATTGAACATTTCACTGATATAACAATTGTTTATATAATTTGTCCTTTGCTTTGACACAGTGGTCTGATTTAGTTTATTTATAACAATGTAAACACTTTATCGAAGTATAATTGGGTAAAGTTATATCGACGTGGTAATTGTAACTTGTTTATATTTACCTAAATAAAGTCTTACTTTTATATTTTACGTTTCATTTATCATTTTAAACTCGACCAGTCGTGTAAATAAGAGACAGAGTTGATTTTATTAACATTTATTGAATAAATAATACAAAATTGGTTTTCGGATCCATTTTTTTTTATTAATTTCAAATGCAAACTAAAAATGAGCAACAAACTCCCGCTAATTTTGTGAAACGTCGATTAGAGACATGTCACATACAATACAATGTTTCAGACGACACAATCAAATACATTTCAACTTGCATTGAAACTTTCAAACATAATAACGAATACACAATTTATCAAATGTCGCGGAAGCAAATGACTAAAACTTCCCGTGGAAGTTAAACTTTATATTATACATTTCCCAAAATTTTATATAGCAATTACATCAAAGTACAGTTTGACATCGAGGAATATTTTATAACATTTCAGAGAGAGTTAATGTCTTTATAAAATCGGGTACATTGTATAGTTTAAATGCTTAAGAAAATGCGCCCAAAGAAATACAGAAATGCCAAGAAAAATAAATACAATATACAACTAATCAACAAGCTTAATCCGCCTCGACTTTACACCTAGCCATTTGTTACTGCGCCCAGAGCAGTGCGGGGAGACATCTCTGCCCGTCCTCTATGTGACGAGTGTCTCCCCGCACTGAACCTCGGCTTCAACGACCCGCGGCCGGCGCTACACCAATATAATTACAATGTGAAAGTAAATCCCCGATCCCCTAAGTACTATACACTTAACTTACTTTAAATGGGTCCTTGTTAGCTCGGTCACGCGCTTTGAGGAACTCAACAACAAAATCAATTTATAAAAACTATAATTAAATACTAACGTTTTTTAATTTTTTTTAAAAGTGTTGATTACTAGTAACGGTGCGACCGAGCCGCTGCACTCGCTTTCTTATACAAAATGAAACATGTCGCCTCCGCTTCCTTAAACTAGACATTTGAAACAGTAGGCCAATATTTACAGCTTGTTCGGTACATCAGTACATCAGTACATTACAACTCGTCACCTCCGTTACATCTTCATTACACTAAATATTTATATAACTTATTGTAAGGAATCGTGCTCAAGTTGTTGCCGCGAGATGAACTCAGATCTTTATTACTATTACTTTAACGTTTATTTATAATAAAAGGTAAATCTCAATGAATTGTGACAAGACACGCAACTCGTCCCCGAGCATCCGTCTCGCTCACAATCACAAAACACTACAATTTTAAATGTTTACATATAAATAATTATGTACAGGAGCTTATACATTTTTAAAATAGAAACTTAGAACCGATCGAATCTCAGACGAACTTTATTGATAACAATTTTGACAAGAACGTTTGATTCCCTCACGATACACAATTTTAACATATTCGCTATTGAATGCTTAATGCACAATATACACATCATCCTGCAAACATCACGACTAAACATTGTCCCGATGGACTTTCATAATTTACATACAAAATACATCTTCTACAGACGAACCGACGCCAAAATACTAATTAAAAATAATCATTTTAATAATTTCACAAAAGCGATCGTAAACGTGCGACGCGCCAACGTTGGCTTCTTCTACATATATCGATTTTATTTAGAAATATTCACTAAAGAGGTCGATATCGAATGGAGATCAGTGCCGGCGTCAGGGCTGACAGTAAAACTGGCACTTTTGGAGATAATATTTATAGAAATCGACTCGATTAAATTTACTTTGTAGATAAACATCGACACATCGACAACATGACCCGCTTTACAATCAATCGACGAGAACTGTTAAGTAGCGGCGACCTCGTCTCCCGTCTCCCGTCTCCCATCTCCCCGCTCTCTACACCTTCACATACAACATATATTTCGAGAGAATATGTCACATTTTGAATTTTGAGGATTGTTCAAATTTACACATGCGCTACAAGATTTGTTTAAATATTTTATAATATTTGAGTTAAGATGTTGTATGTGAGGTGTGGGTGTGGGTGTGGGCGTGGGTGCTGAGGTGCACTCAGGAGGCGTACATGCGCTTGATGTCGTCCTTGTAGCGCTCCTGGATGTCTTTCCGCTTGATCTTGAAGGCGGCGGTGACGAGCCCCATGTCGGGGGACCACACCTCCGTGCACAGCTTCACCGCCGCCGGCACCTCGAACTTCTCCAGTCCGCCTGCAACGCATACAAATGTTATACACTTCAATCGCACTTCACAAAATTTAAAACATTCTAGAGCATGCTGCGATTTAAATTTAATCTTATTTTTTTATATTCCGCTCGTTCCGTATGTATAGAAGGTAGAAAAGGAGGTGTGACGTACATTTGCGTGCGTGGTCCGCGAGCTCGCGCACGACGGCTTGCTCGAGCGCGGGGTCGGCGTACATGTCCGCGAGCGCGGCGGGGGAGTCGGGCGTGTCGGGCGCGAGGGGCCGGCCCAGGCGCGCCGCCAGCTCGGCCAGCAAGCGCGGCTGCGGCACCACCAGCGCCACCGTGTACGTCTTGCTGCTGTCGCCGTACACGCAGATGTTCTCCACCAGCGGGCACGTCTTCAGCTCCGCCTCCACCTTGCCCAGCGAGACGTACTCGCCCGCCTGCAGCTTCACCAGGTCCTTCTTGCGGTCGATGATCCTGATGCAGCCGTCGTGGTGCAGCTCGGCGATGTCGCCGGAGCGGAACCAGCGGCGGCCGTCCATCTCGAGGAACTCGTCGCGCGTCTTCTCCGGGTTGCGGTAGTAGCCCTCGGCGACGCTCTCGCCGCCGACGACGACCTCGCCCCGGGGGTAGGGCTTGTCGGCGACGCGGTAGTGGCCCTCCTCCCAGTCGACGAGGCGCAGGTCGACGCCGGTGGCGGGGGCGCCGACGCGGCCGGTGGAGGTGTCGTGCGGGCACATGACGGTGGCGCAGGAGGTGGTCTCGGTGAGGCCGTAGCCGACGACGACGTCGCAGCAGAGACAGAGACGCACCTGGGCGTGCGTGTCGGGCGCGAGGGGGGCGCCGCCGGAGATGGCGAGGCGCAGACGTCCGCCCAGCAGGCGGCGCACGCGCGCGAACACGACGCGGTCCAGCAGCGGCGTGCCGTACCCGCGCCGCCCCCACCGCAGCTTGTACATGTACGCCCACTTGAAGAACGCCGCCGCGAACGCGCCGCTGTTCGCCACGCGCTCCGTTATGCCCTTGCTGATGCGGTCCATTATCAGCTGCATCAGAAATATGCACACACGCATAACGTTACTTACCTATTCTATTGACAGACAAGAGAGATGTAAAAGTATATACTGACCGGCACGGAGGTGATGCAGGTGGGCTTGAGAATGGTGGCGTCGCCCATGGTGCCCTTCATGATCTTGCTGGAGGTGTCCAGCATCGTCAGCGGCGTCGAGTACCCGATCGGCACGCCTGCACACACATACACTTACAATTAACTGCAAGTCACGTCAAAAATGTAAATGTGTGATGAACGCTATCGGATTGAGGATGAGGTATGAGGTGGTGGTGGTGGTGGTGGTGGTGTATGTGTACCGGCGAGTATGCAGACGTTCTCGGCGAGCAGCTCAAAGACGTGTGCGAGGGGCAGGAAGCCCATGAGCACGTCTCCCTTGGCCACGGGGATGGCGTCCGCGAAGGCCTTCAGCGTGGCCACCATGTTGCGGTGGGAGAGCACCACGCCCTTGGGCACGCCCGTGGAGCCCGACGTGTACATGATGATGGCGGTGTCTGCCGGGGAGGGCGGCACTGACTCTGCAACGTCACGTCACAACATTCAAACTCTCCTCCACATGTTTACATATTTGGTAGCCTCTAAACGCGTTATCTTAGTGACGTAAGATTATTTAGAGTTTTCAGTTTTCTACAAAAACCTACCGATCTTGGACTGCGCGCCCTTGGCGACGACCTCCTTGTACCCGTAGATCTTGATGCCCTCCTTGTAGCCCTCGCGGTCGGTGGTCTTGAGCTGGTCCTCCATGAAGATGATGGTGTTCACCTTGGGCGTCTTGGCCAGGATCTTCTTGAACTTGGGCAGCAGGTCGTGCGTCGTGATCACCGTGGATACTTCCGTCTCGTTGATGCCGTGCGCGATCGCCTCGTCGCCGAGGGTCGCATAGATTGTTACCACTGGAAATGAGAGCGAGGTTGTTACAGTAGACCGAGATTATCTCCCATTGGGTCCGGTAACGCTTTGCGCGTGTAAGTCAGTGCGGTTACCCGGTATGCTCTGCTTGAAGCAGCCGTGCGCGGCGATCATCCACTCGGCGCGGGTCTCGGCGAACATGACGACGTTGGTGCGCGGCGCACAGCCCAGCTCGCGCAGCCCCAGTGCGAACTGGCGCGCCTCCGCCTCCACCGCACTGAACGACCGCCACACGAACTCGCCCATCTTGAACTGAACCGCACACGTGTGTCTCAAGTTTGACCTAATATTCGGAATCTTGGGGGATGGCTTCTATTGAGGTGATATTGTATAAACGTTCGGCTATGCGGTGGTTTACCTTTTTGAAGACTCGTCCGTTAGGCTGGAGCTCGTCGCGCTCGCCGAGCACGGTGCGGGTGCCGAGACAGGGGCGCTGCGCCCAGCGCTGTGCGGCGGCGCGCAGCATGGCCTCCATGGTGGTGACGCCGTCGCGCACCAGCCGCAGATGTATTTCGCTCGGCTCCGACACCGAGCGCACCGTCACGCTCGTCGGCGTCGACTCTATCACGCGCGCCTGCACATACACTCAAACATGGATATCTCAACCGGACAGAGGCGCTGATGTCGCGGCAGAATATTTATAAAACCCACTTAGACTTACAAAATGACATAAAAGTAAAAAAAAAGTAACAGATACAGTACAATGAGAACGTGCGTCAAAATGTTAACATTGCCAGGGGAGCGCTGTAAGCTATCATAATTTAGTTTGACCTTGTCAATCTATAGGTAAATCATCAATGTCACTATCGTATCGTTGAATGCGGGAATGATGATATTTGTTTACCTATTAACGTATTTTGATAAGAGATAACAAATAAAATATCCACTACAGAGAATAATCATACAATTGAATTTAGAGATAGGCAATGATTAATGATCCTATTAAAATTACATAAATCACAGCCGAGCGTCAGGAAAAATT